AATTCAGGCTTCCCAAAATTACCCAGCTTTGCCACAACCATAAGCTGAGCAGGTAATATTGTCTATACCCAATTGATGTGTGCAGATCTCATGGATGAAAGTAGGGCTTGGTGGTGGAGAAACTTCAGAGGAAGTCCTAGTGGAAAGTATCACAGAAGAAATAGTTCTATCTGATGCAGGGGGGGGCTGATTCTTAATTTATCATGGGGAAGCAGTTGGATTATCTAGCTACATGAGGAGAGGTAGAGCTGTGGGAAGAAGGTGGTCACTGATGCTCATTCAAGATGATCAGAAAAGAGGGAAAACTCAACAAAAGTCCAGAACCTTCTATGAAGCATTTGCTACCCCTAAGGTCTACTTGTGCAAATTCCACACTTGTGGCTGGATTTTTATTCTTAAAAACATGGGCTCATGAGGTCTCACCTAAATATGCTCTTTTTGCTGCATTTTGACTCATTAAAGCTTAGATTATATATGCAATTTTGGGCTGTTTGTAACTTATACACTGCCACCAAGACAAACTTGGTTGAGTGCAATATAGTTGACATGGATGGCACTGAGCCTAGTTGACACTGGCTGAAGTTGACTGATTTAATATAAAATCTTATTTAATCAGTTCATCTCAACCAATCTTAACTAGTTTGAGTGTAATCCATATTGACTAGGATGAGCACAACCAAGTTAAGTTTTCTGTAAGTTATAGTCTATGTCAAATCTGTCCAAGTTATGGTCTATTCTGGGGAGAGGAAGAAACACCACCCCAAAATGGGAGGCAATGATATGAAGCCAAGAATTAAGGTGGTGAGCTACTGAACCAAATGATGAGATTGGTGAGGGAGCAAACAAGCCGTGAGGAAAAGCTAAGCACCTATTGAGGTGCATACACAAGATGACAGGAAGAATGAGTGAGGAAAAATAGAAGAGAAGAACGAGAGGTACAACTAATCTATCTACAAGCGTGAAACCTAAAGTTAGTAGATACAAGGTTGAGCCGCGTGGTTACCCCTCTGAAACCCTAACTGTCATCCCCTTCGTGACATGTCTCTTGAACATCACAAATGATTAATTTGTATGTTGCCTTGATAGAAACCTTGCTCCTTACCTAGGAATTACTCATTATTAACTTCCTTTGTACAATAGTGTAACTCAGTTATAAACCTGTTGTTACATCCACAAAACTACAAGCAGTGGCCTTTGTCATGGGGCTTCTGAGGCAGAGGTTACAAATGTGTATAACCCATGTTTGAGGGTGGTTTGTTGGGTGTGGCAGTGGTGTTATTGTTGTGTTATACACTGGTTACAGCATGGAAATCTGCACACATTGCCTCCCTTTTTGGGGTGGTGAAAGGTCTGGTATTCTGGGGTTCTGGGGTTCTGGGTTCTAGTTGGTTGATTTCAGGATGAGGGAAAGGATTGGATCTCCCTCCTTGAAGACTATGAGTGTAATTTGTGGGACATTTACATGATAGGCTCTGTACATATAAGAGTCCCTGCTACAGATCATAACAGTCCATGGAATCAATGAAACCCCATTGGTTCTGATCACCACCAGTCCTCATAAGAGCCCTTTCCACCTCTCACTCATCCAAGACTGAGGCCCTTTTGGTGTCACATCAGCAGTGGGTCACATGGATATGAACATTGAATTCATGTTGAGCTTGCTTGAATAGCTCAAAACATGCAGCTCTTGGGACGGTGTGGAGTATTGATTTTCAAAAACATGGTTCAGAGTGAAATGTCTTTGAATTCAGTTGCAGTGTTTCTTAGCTTATGATAATGTTGATTTCCTTGTTTATATGTCAAAACTGTAGAAAAATTATGATCAGTTTATTAGTGACTTAGTTGACTGAGCTGTTGAATGCATGAAAATGACATACTATTCATACTTTGCACCATCTCAGAAGTGCAGGAATGGGGTGGTTAGACCCTTATTTTTGGTGAGCACTGTATTTTACACACAGGTCCTTGCATTTCAATTCTGCTTTCCACCATCTTGGATCTTCTACTTTGACAAAGAATCTACCCATACCATCCAGACTTGAGAGGGCAAAAGAATCACATTCTTCCAAATTACTCTTGAAGAAAATCTCAAGAATAGCTGGTTCATTATCTCTGCTCCCTCAAGCAAATATTATCACTTGCTCTTATTTTCCTGTTCTCACTTATTTCTCAGCTTCTGATCTCTTCAACAGGAGGAATTCTTTCGGAACAGAAACAAACCTGGATATAACAAGCCTAGAGTTATCACACATCCAAGATTTTGTTGCCTATTTTGTATGTGGCTTTGGCGTTAGAGTATGGCCTCTCATGGATTTCACAAAGGAGCACAGATAATCTTGGGCGGTGCTACCCTTGAAAAGGAACAACCCCTTACGTTTGAAAACAAGATAGGGAAGAGCGTCAAAGAGTAAAATTGAATATCGGCATGAGATAGGGGAGGCAGGCGTCGGGGTGATGGAATGAGGAAGTTGATAAATGTGTCCACCTTTCCATCTTGTCGGTAGCGGGACAGGTGTTGCTCTTATGCCCGGAACGATGCTGTGCTTGCGAAGAGCAGTGCTCTTCGCGGTATTCATACATCGTTGATCAATAGGGTAAGTGAACTGCGCTGTTTTAGTCACGATGTAGGAATCTTGTGATGCCGAAGGGAGGATTGCGAGTTGATGATGAGGACTGGACAATGTTTGCTGGAAGGATGACTTGATGTTTGATGATGAGACGTCAGATTCTCAGTCGAGCCAGCCGGCGAGCGGGGCGTCATCCACAGAGACCGCCCACAATGGAAGCCATCTCGGACGGATCTGAGCCGAGCCCAGCGGTGGAGAAAGCATCATACGGGATCCAGTTCGATCCGAGTGGCGCTCTGATCAGGGAAGCAACCACCAACACAATCCAATCGAACTTGCGGAACAACCTCTTGCGGGTCGCTAAATGGTAAGCAAACCCCACACGCCTACTCGGGAATCTCATACATACTCATGAAAGTACCTTGGATATCCTCCAGGTCAGCAGACGGAGCTACAGTCTTGACAGAAGCCGAGGATCGAACGGTTCGATTGTTTATGGGGTATGGTCACGTTCAAGCTTCCCAGGATCGACGGCTAATGACAGCCCGGCTGCCCGGAAAACGTTGACTGACCTCCTACTCGATCAATCAGCAGCAGCCCATCTATTGGCCCCATCTCAGATTCACAAGTCTCTGAACAGAACGAGCATGGACCGTCGTCTTGGAAGCCGGCGCGCAGTTTTCGCATGGCAGATGCTCTGCTATCTACTTGTTGGTTTCCGTACTCAAGCTGCAACGATCCGAGTCGGTATTGCTTCGTGGCGGCGGTCAAGGACCATCCCATTCAGCTGCTCGATGCGAGTGATGGCAGGGTGAACCCGTCGCACTCCCTAGCTCCAATTGACTGGCTATGTCTTGGACAGAATCTGAGACCCATTTCCTCTCAAAATATTCATCCATCGGCTCACGGCTATCATTCTCTCTCCATTGCCTATCGAGTAGATTCGAGCATCCTATCCGATCGTCGATCACCGAGAACGCATGGTTGCTCCTCACTCGATGATATTCTCTGACGATGGTACCACGTCAGCTTTTTTTTTTTTTTTTTTGCATTGGTTGCACACGCACCGATGTTTGAGATTTTTGAATTGATTATATAGACTCTTTGCTGGCTACGACTCGGCCATCGAAATATTTGATGTCTCTCGGCCAGGCGAGGCAGGCGAAAGATACAGGACAATTGTGTCCAGGAAAAGTAAAGACGGTCAAAAGGGTATGCTCTCTTCACACTTCGTTTTCTAGCAAGCGACAGTCTGCCCTACGTTTTCCGCTACGCACCAAAGTTGATATCTTGGATGTATCGAACATACTGCGTGCAGGTATAATCTCTAGCCTGAATTTGGATCCCTCAAGACAAGGGCTCCTGGCTGCTGGATCGTATTCGGGTCAGATTGCTTTACATGATACGAAATCTAGCGAGATTGCACCGGCCCTGGTATTCAATACTACCGAAACGACAGGTGTTACACAGGTAAAGCTCTATACAACTTGACAAATCTCCGACACTACCTATATATTTAATTGGAGGCTCAAAATAACTCGGTCAATAACGGTACATTTGTACATTTCGGCATGCATTCATGGGATCCCTCGCCGCGATGATGATGGCCATACATAGCTCAAATTCCATCCACATAACGACCAAGTCATGTTCTCGGTCTCTAGGAAGAGTCACCAGATTCTGTGTTGGGATCTCCGCTATGGAGGCACCACTTTCCACAGCTTTTATAGGCCGGGCAGGACCAATCAAAAGATCAACTTCGATATCGATTGGGCTGGAGTCAATTTGATATCCGGTGCAACTGTGAGCGGTTATGCTCCTCAGGTATCATGAATAAGGCTTCCAGTTTCTCATCTTGTTTCTCGATCGTTGCCCGATAGGACGGGAAGATCCGATTTTATAGCCTGGCGGATCTCAATCAACCAGCTCAAGAGTTCCAGATCCATTCCGGTTCGTGGTTGCACCACTTTATGCTACATTACCAAGAGCTGCACGCCACCCATTTTGCAAGTCCCATTTCGTCTGCGGACAAACAAATTTAAAAAAAAAACGGCGGGGGGGGACAAAATATGTAGCTTGCCGGATCTGGTCGTATTCACCACCACGAGAGTTGACCGAAAACTTTTTCCTGACTCCATTCATGCGTGAATATGTACAGATACCATCGGCTCGGCTTCCTTCAATCCTACGGCTTCGACGACCATAGTAACATGTGCTGGGTCCAGACGCAGAGCCATCATTCCATCACCCAGCCTGTCTTCCCGTAATACCCCCCCAGTCCAACCTCTTCCTCTCAGAGATTCTCCTTGCCCATCTCTTGATTATAAACTCACTGAATTAAAACTCTGGACTTTCTCTTATCTCTGATTCATCTTGAGATATGCCTCCACCTTAAAAAGGAATTGATTATTAATGCAAAATTTCCCCATGCACGACAATTTGGCCGAGTGGTTAAGGCGATTGACTCGAACCCTTGTGACTCGGTATCAATTGGGATCTCCCGCGCAGGTTCAAATCCTGCAGTTGTCGATACTTTTCTTTTTAGGGATTCCTTGGTCCTGAATGCTGATGTATCCAGTAGCTTGGGTATGGTGCGAGTGGCAGTATACGTGAGTTGCTGGGGATGACATTTCTCATCCATGTGTTTTTATGGGCACACATCCAGTTTATGGCCTCTACTATGTCTACATACAAGGACTGATCAGAGAAATATGTACCCTTCTTAGGGGGTTGCCTTGCTTTTTTCTACATACATCTGATTTAAATCTACTATGTTTACCATGGATAAGGCTCAACTCTTGTTACCTGCCAGCCAATATTTGGGAGAGATTATAAGAATTCTTTGCCTCTGATGGCTTATTTTCTTATATATATATTCATTTTTGTAATCTTTCCCACTCCTTTCACGCATTAGTCACCCATTATCTCATTATGCATACAAAAGTGAGACTCTTTTTGGCACCTACAAGTCAGCCCTTTTTTACATAAACTATATCAGCCATACATCTATAGAACTGAGGCCCTGTTTGGCCGCTTTATTATGTAATTTCAGGTTTCTATAACCAGGCCTCACACAGGCCCTTATGATATCACACTGGTGTTTGGAAAATGTCAAAAAATTGACTAAATGATGGCTATGTCCATCACCAGATATAGCCCCAACCAAAATTCAAATAGTAGTCCCGGGTGCTATATGGCTGTCATATCATCTCATTACCTCACCCCTTCAAGAAACCATGCCATCCTTCAACCCCTGGAGTCCCCACAACCCATCAGCATCACAAATGGACCCTTCAAAAATGCCTCAAACCCAGTCACCCAAAGGTACCCCCTTCAGCCAATGTAGCAAAACTCGTCAAGGCCAGCCACATTCACCACATCCCCCAACAAACTCCACCAACTCAATGGAGATTAATGTTCACAGATGTCCTTGGCCATTGAAACAACTTCAACAGGTAGCAAAACTGTCAAACTGTTTTGGACAGTGGAAATGGAACACAGAGCTCTCAAATTATATGTACAGGCTGTCTGTAATGGGAAGACATTGGACAAAAGTTTTCAACCCAAGACCCCTTGAGCTATTTCCATGGGCTCAAGGAACAATTCCCAAATTTCAATTTGGATGAATGAAAGGTTAAATCTAAATTAAATCAGGTATATTTCTTGAATCCCTTTATTTTATTTTATATTATTATATTTTTTTCTAAATTTTTGTAGAATAATACAGGTGTTTTTGGGTGGAATGAGGAGAGCTGGGAGGTCACTGCTCCAGAGCAAGTGTGAAAGAATTATTTAATGGTGATTAAAAGTAACACATACTTAGTATGAAAAAAAAAACTATTGATAATTCCTCTTGCTTCAGTCAACAGTGGGCTGGTACGCTACACTACACTATGGGGCCAGGATAGTGTAGCCTAGCGGCTGTTGTTTTTCTGCCAAAGCTGTAGCAGCTATTTTCCGCTACAAAGCGCTGTAGCGTAGCTTAACAAGGCCTTTTTTGGTGTTTTGTTAGAGTTAGCGCAAAACTGCTAACAGCCATGACAAAATTTGTTAGCTGTTAGCGGTTTTAAGCTACACTACGCATAGCGTTAGCGTAGTGAGCCCACTGTTGCTGCAGTCACACCCAGCTGTCAGGAAATTGAAGGCAAAGCCATTCCCTGAATGGTTTTTGCTCTTGGAAACTTTTCAGAATGCCTTTGCAACAAGCTCAAATCAAATTTCTTCACCTCATCTCCACACTCCTAGTGAGATGATGGATCTATCCTTGGCTTAAAATCAACAAAGAAACAGAAATAAATCTCAATTGGCATCAAGATCCCCCACTCTTTCAACCTCTCAAAACAAAATCCATAGTCCCTCACAAAGTAACTCAGAGGTGAGTGCTCCACATATGCATTGTTCAGCCAGGAAACCTTTTTCAGGTGCAATAAGAATTGCTTTAGCTCAAGGAGTTTGTTCAGATAAACCAAGCCAGAAAAAAAAGCAACCCAAGGGCCTAGCTATGGATGTTTCCCAAAGAAAATGCATTGGAATTTGATGATGTTGCTCAACTTTCTGTCATCAATGTTTTTTATTCTGAACGCAAGCAATGGTGGGAAGGTTACACTAACAGTAGTCTTAGCTTTTTTAAGCTACACTACTCAAAGGTTACTGTTAGTTGCAAATTCTGGACAACTAATGCTACATTTTTTTTTTTTCAAAAAAA